GTGTGAGCAAATTCAAAACGATGTTCGAAAAAGGATACACACCTAATTGATCCACCGAAATCTTTCGCATCGCTAAGATAAAATGGACCAAACGTGTAACGTATCTTCTGAAAGATTATAGCGGTAATGCGATATCAGGCAGTTTTTACGAACACGAATTACAACGAGTCGTCAATCCCAATGTTTATTTAATAGAAAAGACATTACGCAAACGAGGAGACAAAATATATGTGAAAAGGTTAAGAATGGAGAGTTCGCTCAATTCTTGGATACCAAACATTACTACACTGTAATTTATCACACATAACGCATCGTGTAGCATGTGCTAAAAATATACACACGGTCGTCCGATTCATCGTCAATGATTAGATTTTACTACGCTGTAATTTATCACACACCCACAACGCATCGTGTAACATTTCGCGCATTGTGTAGCATGTGCTAAAAATGAACACATGGCCGCCCGATTCATCGTCAGTGATCAAACTTATCACGACCGTTATCTTATCGTTGTATTATTGTTTCCCGACTCCAGATGCATCCGGTCGCATTCACGGTCGGTGTGTGGTACATCGTTACAATCGTGGAAGAATTCAACGATGCAAAAGTGGCACTCGTATATTTATGAAAATATGGCTATCCTAAAACCGAGATGTTGTCAATGTCATTGAGAAATATGGAAAAAGTCTTACGTCACGCTCTCGGATTATTTCAAGAATATTATAAAATACTGTCACGTCTGACGCGTGTCACATCCAGCGAAAAACCTAGATCCTATTTTTCTTTCCCTTCCCCTTTGCCTTCTTCTGTCGATAAGCCTCAAATCCACGTCATTCCTGTAAAACATTCTTTAAAAACTAAAATCGGATCAAAAGACAAACCTAGAAATCCTTATCTCCTTTCCTTCTTACCTAAAACCAGCTCCACCCAATTAAAACACTTAGAACACCCCCAGGACCAATCAGAATCCTCGACTCCAAACCCTAGTCTTAGTAAAAACAGAACCACACTCTAAGACACTCGAAAAACCTCCTCGACCAATCAAAAGCCTCCTCCATAGTCCTAGACCAATCAGAATTGATAACACCTACTCCCTAGAGGAATTTCACCAAACCTCCTACATAGCCAATCAGAACGCCTACACATATCCCAAGCGACACTAACCGCCACCTACAACTCGACACCAGCCCCGTCCGTTGGGTATAAAAGAGGGCCCCTGAGCCTAAAAACGTCAGTTCATCCGCGGACGCGGTCCGGTGCACTCCTCTCCAAGCACCAACCTCCTAACTTTGGTTAAGCATTTAACCTTAAATGTATTTTTTGTGTCAAAGTCTAAAGTTAGAATATTTTTGTCAAAATCTAACTTAGAATATTTTTGTCGAAACCTAGATTTAGAATATTTTTGTCGAAATCGAGACTTAGAATATTCTGTCGAAATCGAGACTTAGAATATTTCAATCTCGACACTCTCTAGACTGAATCTTGTACTGTACTACCAAAGATTTACTTTTAGAATATACATATTTAACCAACGGTTTAGTACCAAGTTTATACTACCTTTAGAAATCCCACTCCGTTCCATTTCAAACCACCCCGTATCGACTATATCCATTTTTCCTGCCGTTGTTCACGAAGATCCTCCAACGAGAGCTTACCGGTGCCGGACAGCGGCACGCTCGTGCGGAGATCGTGTGACAAGCTTGATCTTTCACACGAGAGCTGGTGCCGAACAGCGGCACGCTCGTATGAAGATCGCATGGTAAACTTAATCCTCCACGCGAGAGCTCACCGGTGCCGGACAGCGGCACGCTCGTGCGGGGATCACAAGGAAACCTCGGGCTAACCAATCTTCTATCGCTCAACCCTTGCCGTTGTCTTTACGAACACCCTTAAGCGAGAGCTCACCAGGTGCAGGATAGCTGCACGCTCGTACGAGGCCTTCGAGGCAACCCCAAGTGTAACCGGCACCCGCCAACCTGATTGCGTCACGAGTGTGGGAGGAGATAGGTGCAGGACAGCTGCACGCCCACATCTCTTGTATCAACCGGTTGCAGTGTCCCGAGTTTATGTTGCTTATGCCCCAGAAAAGGAAACGACCCGGCGGTCGCAAATACCAACGTCGCAAGCTGGTGCGTCAGCTCACCCGCCACCCGCGAATTCAACTCCTTCGTTGGTTTATCCAACCCTTCCCTCTCTTCATACCCATCAAGTCCTCTCCCAACGGAACCTCCACATGCGTCTACCCCAGTGGAGCGCCGCGACCGCTGACCCCGCGTGTGAATAAACTGTGCAAATATAAGTTGATACCGATCGACTTAGACGAATTCAAAATGACCAAGGTCCGTCGTACATCATCGCCAAGGGACCCGCGTCCCGAATATTACAAGATCTTGAGAACCGAAACTCTACATGCTTACTTCGGGGAATCTACATCCCCCCTTCCTTCATTGAAAGAACTCCGTGCCACGTCTCGAAGCTCCTTATACCGACAACAACGGGTCCGCCAGTGGATTCAATCCCACGACACACAAGTGCAGACGCCATGTGAACATTAAGAGCGATCCAGTTCTTACCAACGAGGACCGCTCCCCGAGTACAACTGCCACTGACAGCACCCCGGAGTCACCGCTCTGGAACTATCATCACCGGTAGGTAATAACAATTAAGTCATACATCAAACGGGACTATTTGTTAGCGCGTATCTCAGGGTAGGGCTGCATAAGCCTGACCACCCGAAAAAAATCTAGCCCCTCTCGTGGCCCGAGAATTATAGATAACCGCGGCCGAGCGCGACGTAACAATACCTGGACAAGAATCATGAACTGAATAAAATCACTTTGGACAAAATGCGCTAACCGCGATGCGGCCTCCCAGACCTTTCGGATCAGACGGATCGAAGCAGAAACAATATCTGGCCAAAGAAACATCTCATGTGGAATTTTCATCTCGCCGACGAGGAAACTATGAAAGTGACGCAGGCCGCGTTCGATCTGTGGGCGGCAAATTCATTGTTAACTTTTAATGCGTATCTCTGAATCCCGACATATTGTTATCGTATCGTGAGGGCCTTCACACGAATATCGACAAGAAAATTACTGATATGTGCCCGTGTTCTATAGACGGCCCCGGTGGTGTACTCGCTCACGCATCCTTTCCCAACGGAGATGAAGGTTACGTCACGGAGGTGCACGTAGATAGAGCGGAATCGTGGCATATTCATATTAGTAGAAATCCTCCTCGCACGCACAGCCTGTTGTACGTAATCGCGCATGAAATCGGCCACACATTAGGTTTACATCACAGTGAACACAAGGATTCGATTGTGTTTGCGATGGCGCCCAGCAAAACAAAATTTCCTATTACATTGAACTTCGATGATATTTTTCATATTCGATATCCATATGGTGCTAATTACCATGGTTCTACAACTAAATACCACCTACCACCACCACTACAGCTGTTGTTACAACAACAACAACAACAACATCGAAAAACATCAATCATGAACCGTGTGTCGTACGAGATCTTGATATAATATTAATCATAAACAATCGACTATATATTGCATATGAAAAGTACATATGGCCTATTAATATCAACGAAAATACTTATGAAAAACCGATTGTAATATCAGATTACATGCAATTTCTCCCTAACAACTTCACACACTTAACACCTGCATATCAGAAACCTACGGGCAACCTGATGATATTTGCAGATAATATCATATACGTGGTGTCATGTCCCAGTTACGAATTAATCCAAAAACTTTCGTTCAACGATTTCGGTCTTCCACCTACAGCCAGAATCAATACCGCAATAAACACCAACAAAGAACAGAGTTCGTTATGTACAACGATCACATAGTCAGGGAAATAGACGATTGTTCAACACGAATCATGAGTCATCGTTCAATCGACGAGATATTTCCAGGAATACCGACCGGGATGAAGACCGCATTTCGATATATTGACGGATATTTATACTTCGTTAAAAACCATTTCTATTACAAATTTAATGATTTTGACAAACTCGTTACGGCTACCGGCAAGTTCGACCTGCTGTTCATAGGTGTTAGTTGACCGCGAAACAATTTGATAAAACAATTATGAAACCTGCTCGGTGGATTAATCAAAATCGTCTCCTTTGCAACGGCAACGAGAAAAGAAGAAGAGGAGAAGGGGAAACAATAATGTAAGAAAGAAAGAGAAAAGACATAGAAGGAAAGAAAAATAAGAATACAACGAACGACCACGATTATCCAATAGCTCTGCATAAATTTGTTTTTCTTTCATTCCCGTCTTAACTACGAGAGAGAGAGAGAGAGAAAGATCGCGCATCGTAAAGTACGCGTTAATAACCAAAGAACGTCCCACCTCTACCAACTGCCGCCATTCCAACGGTGAGATGATTGACACGAGAAAACGAAAATTAGACGACGACGACGATTACGTTTCAAAGGAAGAACACGTTATAAATAACAACGGAGGTCAGACATAAAACAAACAAAAAACTTAACAACAACAACAAATGGAACGAGTGAGTTTTATTATTATCATTTATTTCAAAACACTTTTACCCACCTATCGAGTTACTACTTCTATTACTACTACCATTACAACAACTACTACTATTTTTGTTCACCAAAAACAATGAAAGTGCCAACATTTAGGTTCGAATATTAACGAGAAAATATCTATTGCCAAAACGGGTTACTCAAAACTCAAGAAACGTAAAAAAGGCACGGCGAATGAATTCTTCGACGCTGCAGCGTGGAAATAACAAAATATAGCCGAATTTTTTAGCCACACTCTTCAGTTTGTTTCCTTTCACAATTTAATACATTGACAGCCGGCGCCGCGAAAACGCGGGTTTCTGAGTCTGTCGCTTGAGCGCCAGTCCCGCGAAAGCGCGGATTTCTGAGTCTGTCGCTTGAGTAGCTGCAACAGTAAAAGAAGCGAGAGTAACTTTACGTGTGCTGAATGCTTAGTACCTTTACATCTGGGACAATGTTTCGAGAAATACCACACTTGAGTAGATGATCTAGGCCGGTTCTGGCTCAATTGGATCTGTTTTACCG